GCGAGCTGATTGTGTCGGCGTAGTGATCTTGGGGCACGGGGTGGGGACGCTGCTGCGTCTCTCTGGGTGTGGTGCGTGAGATGACTCTGGTGCTGAACCCAGTTGGAGAGGAGCGGAGAGAGAGTAGATATCGGCTTGAGGAGTTGGAGGATTATACCCCGGATGTACTGGATACTGAACACAGAAAGCAGCTTTTTGTTGTTGTGAAGTGTAGCATACCGGGCGACTTGGGAAGCTAGATCTTGCGCGGGCGTCCCGAAGAGTAGATATCTCCCAACTGCCCCACCTCTCCCCCCTTGGGCGAAGTCGAACTTGAGAACCCTAACATTGAAAATACTAATCATTTGGAAATCATTTCACCTCGAACAAGTTGGGAATGAAATATACTCTTATACCAAAATGTTATTTACATATTTGAAATAAATCACAATGCGGGAAATTATTAATTTTTGGCTTTAAGGACGCCAGCGTGATGTGGCTGTGCAGTGGCTGTGCATCGGTCGGAGCCGTCAATTCTCCGCTTGACCCAATGGGAGGGCTGCAAAAGTGCGGACAAGGGGGGGAGCCGTGGCACAGATATATCTCCCAGAAGCATACAATGACAGAGGGTGATGAGTAGGTTGGTGCAGCTACCCTGCGTTCCCGACGATGCTACTGATTTTCGGGGGACAAGATCATTGCGAATGAACAAAACTGAGACGAAGCCGCGCTCCACGCATTCAACGCAGAACGAGGTGCAGGCTCAGGTGCTGTCCCCCTTATGCCGACCTTCGCGAATTATGAGCTTTGACATGCTTGCTTCTGTCGATTACGTCACTTTACGAACCCTGATAAGGTTGACAATACCTGTCGCAACCTCCGTGCCCTTTCTTCTGCCTATCATGCCTTCAGAGATTCTCGGGCGCTGTACTCCTAACTCGCGTCAATTTGAAGCCGTCGGCTCCGTGCACTCTTCTGATAATCTTGATCACAGCCAAGAATGGGGCAAATCTGTGGAGGGAACTTGCTGGCACGCTTCTTCTGGATTTGGGCGATTCAAATGGTGCCACTCCTCTCCTCGTACATGCTGAAAGTCGCAAGCCAACGCCAAAGAATCCTGTTTGGTGCCTATATATGCATGGAACGAGATCGCCTCATTACCCCTCTGACGCTCGAGGCTGCTCACAGGCATCACGGATGGAAGCCGTCTGTACGTGTGCGCCGGTCGTCAGCGTTTACATACCAGGCTATGAATAGACCTGACCTGAAGTGTCCTGCGCACAGTGCGTGTGCCTGATCCTGCGGGCATACTATCTTTGACCAGACACCTCCTATCTGGACAAACGTTTATTCTACGTTTTACCTAGCGCACTGGCGCTGTATTTATCGAGGGATCGCAGCAGGCTGTTTGCCTCCTCGTCCAAGATGCGAACGACTGGTTTGGCTTTGCTCTCGTTGTGTGTGCTTGGGAGTCAGGCCCAACAGATCTGGGACATTGTAGGCCCCTCAACCTCGTCGATCTTATAGCGTTTTGATGCCTTTTACAGTGGGAAACAGCCTACGATCAGTCCGTCCTCTTCGAGCGTCAATATCCATCGGATCTTCCTATCAATTTTGTCACTCCGGGTGCGATTGGCGCGGCGGACATTGTGGTCGATGACTCCACCCTTTATCAACCTATTGACGGGTTTGGAGGAGCGCTCAGTGAGTACATGTTGCTGCTGAGTTCTGTCGGTGAGCACTGACACGCTTGGGCAGCCGATTCGGCCGCATATATTCTTTCTCAACTGAAGGTTGGCAGACTCTCTTGTTTTAGTTTACAGGCTGACTGTGGTATTAGGAAACTAATTCCGACAACTATTGGACTCTGCTTGATACCTTGTTTGACCGTACGCTTCCTTTCTGCCTTGACAACCACCGTGCTGACATGTCCTCCCAGCAACGGATGGCGCAGCAACCGCCGCCCTCACGTTCCTCCGCATCCCGCTCGGCGCTTCCGACTTCAGCCCCTACGTGTACAGCTACAACGACGCGAACGACACGACACTCTCCGAGTTCAGTATCGACGTCGCCCCCTCCTACCTATGGTCCACGCTCACCGACATCCAGTCCATTGGCGGCGCACAGCTCAAGATCATCGTAGCTCCCTGGTCGGCACCGGGCTGGATGACCTCTACGGGCACGATGCTGGGTGGCACGTTCTTGAGCCAGTATACGGACGTATTGGCGCAGTACCTGCTTATGTCTGTGCAGCAGATATACGATAAGGGATTCAACATATATGCGGTTTCGATTCAGGTGCGTTCTTTGGAACACCTTTGTCTTTCGGCACCATGACGTATACGCGTAGAACGAGCCTGAGAATAGCAACCCCACCTATCCGACAATGCTGCTTGATCCAGACACAGAAGCGGCGGTCGCAACGCAGCTCCGCACGCTGCTGGACGACGCCGGTTTCGGGACAGTGCAGATCTTTGCCTGGGAGCACAATTGGGATCAGGCGGCGAACTACCCAGTGCAGGCTGTACGTCCGGTCCTCCGTTCATTCCCTTCTCAGCCGCTCACCATGTGATAGGTAAACGACGACCCCAACGCATTCGCAGGCGCGAGCTTCCACTGTTATGCCGGCACGGTAGAGGATCAGATGTCCTTCTATGACGCCTATCCCGACAAGGGGATTTGGTTCACCGAGTGTACTGGAGAATTCGACAGTGCGAGTGCGTGGTGGAGCGACTTCAAGTGGAATATGGAGAACTTGTACGTTCTTCCCTCCTTCGCTGCATGGGATTTGGCAGACCGGCACTCTCTTATCGTCATATGACGCAGGATGATCGGCTCCCTTTCCTACTACTCCCGCTCCGTCGTCCTCTGGAACCTAGCATTAGATGGTACGGGCCAGCCCCTGCTTCCAGGTACTAACTCCTGCGGGGGCCCCGGCTGCCGAGGGATCGTCACCGTAAACTCAGACGGCTCCTACCTGCTAAACCAAGAGTACTACGCCCTGGCGCAAGCCTCGCGTGCCGTGGTGCCTAAAGACCCGAGTGGACCTTTCGGGCAAAGGATAGGCTCCAGCGTAGAAGGGACACTGGACTACGAGTTACTTGTCGGGGCGTACAAGACTGGCAGGAGCGAGGAGGCGGATACGGACTGGAATCGGTATAGCTTGGTGGTGATGAATTGGGATGATGGGGAGAATGGGGGCACGGCGAGTGCTGTGGAGACGACTATTGAGTTCAGGGGGATGCAAGGTGAGTTTGTTTGGACGTTAAAGCAAGGTGGACTCTGATGGGGTCGTAGCGACGTATACCTTCCCAGTAGGGGTGACAACACTGTGGTGGTTTGCGGAGAACTGACGGTAGTTGGGGGAAACACTTGAGCAGACGTGTCGTGGATCCGGGACATCCAGTCATTCGTTCAGAATCAGATTATTTCATTCCGGCATGATTCGGTACACAGAGAATACACATCAGGAGCAATCTGAGAGACTTCATAAGATGATCAAGACGATTCGGCGGGCTTGTCCTCTTGGGAGAAAGTGGTGAGCCACTTCTCGACGAATTTGACGTGTCCTCTGTTAGATGGTAAGATTTGGATCGGCATACGACAGCAGAAAGATGATAGAACGTACGAGTAGTTCATCACGCCGTCGCATACGTCCCGGACGTTGCCAGTCTTGTCGATGACGAACGTGGTGCGACCTATATGTGCCATAAGTCTCGTAATCTCCAACAAGCCGCACAACACATACCGTCACTCAAGCCCAACAGTCCCTTCGGCACCTTATACAGCTCCCTAACTTTCCGATCCTTGTCACTGAGAATATTGTACCCCAGCTGATGGTCATCCACAAACTTCTTCTGCGCCTTGACATCGTCCGCGCTAACACCGACGACCTCGACCTGGGTGCTCTGGTACACCTCGAGCTTCTGGCTGTCCCTGAACGCGCAGGCTTCGCGTGTGCAGCCGTACGTGCCGGACTTGGGGTAGAAGAAGAGAGCGATGGGCTTTCCCTGCCCTGGGTGGAGGGTGTAGTCCACCCCGTCCTGGTTTGGGAGGGTGAAGGTCGGCGCGGGCTTGCCGATGAGTTCGTGGGCTGTTGCGGACATTGGACGTTTTGTGGGGAGGGATGTGAGGGATGACCGGGCTAGACGGCGGACGAGGAAGGGGTTATATAGCAGCGACAGGATGGGCGATGGCGAGCAGCAATGACCACTTACATCAGCGGTCCGAGGTGCGATGAAAGTGGTTCGATCTCCTGACAAGGAAACGCACTTCGGAAGCGAGCATATCGGAGGCGGTGCATCTCTATAACCGGACATATCATTGTCGTACGTTGTTTGTTCGTTTGATCATCACACCACATGTATATAAGGGCACTGATCGAAATATTACTGCAAACGTTCTGTACCTCTTGATTGCCGTAAGTACACACACAGTCTCTGTAGTCATACATACACGAGCACTCAATGTCTGTCAATTGTGACAAGTGAGTACTCTCCGCTGTGACTCACAACCCCACGTGCGTCATCAATCATATTCCTGTTGCTTCTTCTGTCTTCTCCTGTTCATTCTCTTGACCCTGTGCCTCCACTGCAGCATCCTCCGTCTCATCCTCTCCTTCCGCATCCTCAATTTCAACATCTTCCAACTCTTCCTCCTGGACCACCTTCTCTTCGTTCACAGCTGCCGCGATCTCGGCCTTCTCCTCTCCTACCTCCGGCACAACCTCCATATCTGTCGCCACTTCCTGCACCTGCGTTTCCTTCACAGGCTCAACCACCACCTCGGGCAATACGTCCGCCTCCTCGCCCTCACCCCTCACACCCTCCCGCTCCATCTCCATTTCCGCCTCTACCTCCATCTCCGGGTCTCTCCTTGCCGCCTTAAGCGCCTGCACTCGCGTGGCGTTCGTCGCAGAGGCAGAAACGATCTCAGCTTTGAGCTTTTCGAGTTTTTGTTCCAGCGAGAGAGGGGTGGTAGTTGACCAGGGGTCGGCGGCGGGGTCGGGTACTGTGATCAACGGAGAATGAGGTTAGGCTCGAATACAGCTATTTGAGGGAACTACCCACGTTTTCCAGGGAAGGCAAAAACGTCCTGCATAAACTCATGATTACGCATATATCTCGCTTTCGCTAAATCCCGTTTGGTCAGGAACTCAGGCTCGTCATCCGAGTCATCCTCGACCTTCACATGCTGGGCACCATGCGGATGCTGCGCCCGCTGCTGTTGCTGTTGCTGCTGTACATGCTGCTGCTGCTGCTGCTGTTGTTGTTGTTGTTGATGCTGCTGCTGTTGCTGTTGGGCGAGCATCATCGCCCGCTGCATGTCCTTCTGAGGTGAGCGGCCAGGAACCTGGGTTGCACCACCCGGAGGGAGCGGCTGGCCCGGTCGTGGAGGTTGACTGAATACCAGAACAGGCCCGGACGGGGCGGGGGGGATCGGGTACTTGCGTGACGGTGTGGACTGGAAGATCGGAGGGACGGCTGTAGCGATTTGTACTCCATGTGAGTACCTAGACACCTGTTAAGAAAGCGTAGGACGCACGCTGTGCCTGCCCACGAGTGTAGTGGATCAACCAGAGATGCGGGCTCCCACCCTTCAGCAACCTAAACTTCCGGCGTACGCGGTTCGCCTGCGTCTCCGCACCCGGGATGAACCCATACTTCGTCTCTTTAACCTCCAGTTCATGCCCGGCGATCTGGGCGCGGAAACTGCTCTCATTCTCCAGAAATCGTACGCCGTCGTTGGCCCAATGCACGTTATTCGTATGGTACACTAGGTAGAGGTCGTTGTCCGAGGGCTTGTCGATCGGGATCCAGTAGAAAGGCGTTTGCTGGGCGATCGACACGGATTTGAGCAGGTACTGGACAGCGAGTTCGTATGTCAGCGGCTGGGCAAGAGGGAGTGTCTGGTTCGCGCGTAGGTAGTGGTTTTGCTGAATACGGGTTAGCTGGTTCTCGTGTTCAGGTGGTGTTCAGGTGGGGAGACGTACTGGATCGGGCTGCATTGCTGCTCCTTGCTGCTGCGGACCCCTCACAGGCGTCATCGGGTTCCCCATCCCCATCCCTTGCATCGGCATCCCCTGCATACCTTGCATATTCTGCATCCCCTGCATCTGCATGTTCTGCATGTTCTGCATGTTCTGCATCATGCCAGGGTTCATCCCACCCATAGCGGGCTGTCGACCCTGCATGTTCTGCATATTTTGCATGGCTTGAATATTCTGGGGCATCGTCATCCCTGGATGGGACGGCATTCCAGGTTGCATCATCTTCGCGCTTCGTGGTGGTTGTGAGAATGCGAGAGGAGAGAGATGGACAAGTTTCGCGACGCGTTGTTGGTGAAAGGTAGGGACTTTCAACTGCTCGAGGGGAACGCCACATAGCCCCTTGTGGCACTAACACCGAGCTTATGTCGGCATTTGGTCAGCCCTCACCTTCTGCACTGTGTTTTCTTCAGCCAGACTGACACCGCAAACTTGGTAATTATGCCAACAGCTATTTGAGAACTTGAAGAGTATTGTCAACAGTGTACTGGCATCTTCAGAAAGTGGAATGGAAGAACAGAGGAAAGCAAGGGAATAGAGCTACTAATGGACATTCTCTGACCAGTGTTGACCAACAAGGTGACTGTGCTGGGGATGACCATGTTCAACTATCATTTAACACACATTCTGTTTGATTGAATGCAATAAGCCAGATTTGCCTGTATACACGCCAGACTTGTTCTAGGTCATGAGGGAAAGTGAGCAAGAAAATTGCCTTACTACTGTGTCAGAAGCTGGGCTGTCCTGTTCCATGGGTGCCAATTCCAGTACATACAAGTTTTGGGGCAGGGTCCTCTGGACTCTGGACTCTGGACTCTGGACGGGGTACATGGCAGTGTTTTTTGCTTACTGTACATATCTTTCTCAGCTGACATAATATTATTCCATTGTACTCCTACATTATGTACATCATCACTGGTTATCTACTATACCCAACAAATGGCACCAGTCATGCTTGTCATCGTCCAACCGGCTGAGCTCACTGCCAATCCACTGCCCCTCGCTGACTCCTCCCTCCCTTGACTCCCCTCCCCTCCTCTCCTCATACCAACTCTTCCACCCCCCATGTTACTCCTCAACCTCATTTGCCAGCTTTTGGCAGCACATGAGTCCTTGCCACAACTCACTGTCCAGCAAGCCCTCCTCTTTGTCAGCCTCTGCCAGCACCTCCAAATGCACATTGCCTGGCAAGAAATCCCTGGCATCAAACACCTCAACACTCCCCTGGCTGTGATACCAAACACGGTCACAGCTTTCCTCTCTGATTCACTCGGGCTCCCACCAGGGCACATTCCCATCCTCTGGCAAGCTCTTCAGTGGACTGCTTGGACACCCAACAGGGATCCTATGCATCCTACTGGCCCTCTGGTAGATCCCCTCCCTTTCTTTGCATGCTTTGCACAGAAATACAACCTTGGTGAGCTCCTCCTTTCATTCCCCTTATCTCCCATTCATCTATATACTACTAGGCATCAAACATTTCTACCCCCGACCCAAATATGCCTTAGGGATGCCTGTCCCCACCATGTTTGCACTGGCATGCATGCCATGTTGAGCCTTTGCAACCAGCACTTTGCCATGTTGTACACACTAGCCCAGGGCACACTCCCCATCATCCTCATATCCTTGTGCTGCAGGATATGCAGGATGACCTACTACCTCAACTTCTACTGTGAGAAGCAAGTGGCAGAGGAGGAGGTTTGGGTCTACTATGGCAGCATGCCATCTGTCCTTCAAGCTGAAAAGCACATGGCTTTTGAAGACTGTCTCTGCCATCTCTTTCATGTGCAGACTGTCCATGCCCAGTATGCATGTCTATCCATTTGTTCTTCCCTTTCCTTCCCTCCCCTCTAGTGCATACCTCTTCCCAGAGGGGCTGCTGGATGGTGATCTCTTCTTTTTTCTCACCAAGCACATTGTCATCCCTATGACTAGCAGAGACTGATGCAGGGATAGTGTGTCCTTGTCTGCAAATTGCAGACATATACAACCTGATGCTGGCAAATGCCAGTGTCAGGCAGCAAGGTCAATATTTCCCATCCCTCCTTCAAGGCAAAAGTATATCCAACCTTTTTGACCTTTATGCCTTGCTTCTCCACCATGCCAAGCAGGGCAGTGTTCTCCACCTTCCCAACAATGCCCAGCACCAGTATGACTGACTCAAATACACCATGCAAGAGCACAATGCTTTCATGGCCTACACTGGCCAGCCCCACTGGGCGCATGTGTGCTCTGAGTGCACCAAGACCATCCAGTGTGATGGGCATCCCTGTGAGTGCACTGAATCATCCAGTTGCATTACTGTTAGGGCAACACAGGCTGACTAAGTCTGCTCACCTAAGAGTGCCAAGAGTCTAAGCAGGCAACAAGGAAGTGGAGTAGACCTGATGACTAAGACCTATCTACAGCATAGGTACCTGTGGATGATCCTAAGAGACCAAGTCTCAAGAGACAGTCCCCAGGCAGAGTAGGCCTTATATTTATACCTCTGTGGTGGAACCTGCTAGAACATCTTGCTTACTTAGCCTAGTCAGGTGGTCAGGTCATATGACCAAGGATGAGGTCATATGAGGTCATGCACAGCCATGCACAGCAGGTCACCTGACCATCCAATCCTTCCAGCAGGTTCCAGCACATGCCAAGGTATACCAGCTACTTCCATGTCATAAAGGCTTAGTCATGTCTCTTGACCAACCAATGAGCTGGTGCCCTGACAACCCCAAGAAATGCAAATTTGGAGCAACATCAACAAATTTTCTTGGACACCATTTCTTGATGAGTGGTATTGCAGTGCAAGAGGAGAAAGTGGCCATGATCAAGGAATGAAACGACCGGAAGCTGTGACAGAA